TCAGAATCAACGTTGAGTTTAAGCAAGCGAATGAACCAATTGGAGTAAAGTGCTATGCAGATTTAAATTTTTCCCACTTGTGACGAATGCAGCTATCGATTTTTTTTTGCAGGCTAGCATGCTAGTTAACATTCATGTTAGTCAGCTGTTGGCTCTCACGCTGGCCAATAGAATCTCCCTGCCTATTCGTGGCAGCCAGCTATAGGCTCTCAGTAGAAAATGGCCGCAAACTACATGAACACTGCCGTAGAAGAATGAAAAAAATCGATTATTTCCACTATCGATGGGAGTTGGGAAATGCAAAGTCGGTCTTGGCCTTCCAGCTAACTCCGAGCATGTGCATGTAAATTTTGGTGCAAATCCGTCGAAAATTACGGCCGTGTATTCGTCACACACACACACACACACACACACACACACACACACACACACATCTTGCCTTTTATACATAGAGATCTTCTAATAAAAGAATATCAAACATTGCTTTTTAACTGAAACTTGTTTCACAATTGAAAAGAAATAAACAATTTAATAGTTGAGATTTGGAATCCTGGTACTTTTGTGTTCGTATCGGTATGCTTTATGTAGTTCTACTAATGTAATTAAAAAAAAAATGAAAAGACACCTTCTTTTGACTGAACCTAGTATTTACATTTTTAGATGCATTCAAAAAATCTAGAAGATTTGTTATATTTGTATAACAAAATAATCTGCAAGCCGTAGTTTTGGCTTTGGTGCTCGGGTACGGTATTCCTGCCACGGTGTGTTTCTTGATGTGCTATGAAACTCAAGTGGTTGACCTTAACACTTTAGCATTTTCGTTTCCATTTAACAACGTATATTTTAACATTGGAGGCGCCATCCTACTGAAACACTTGAAAAAGCGGCGCTAGGGACGAACGTGTTCAGAACAACAGCTCTAACCTTAAATCGACAATGAGATGAAAAAGCTCTTTTTTTTTTTCAAGTTCTATGTTACTGTTATTTCTTGATCTGAATATTTTACTAAAGGTTCGACCTTTGCGTTTCGTATCTCGCACTTATATGAGACAAACCAGTTTACAAATAACTGACTCGTCAAAGAGGAATCATTGCCTGAAGGAGGGCATAAAACGGTGTCAAATTCCAGCTTTTGAATATGCATACGACTATGTGCACGCGTATGTACGTAGGTATGGGCATATGTATGTATGTACGAAGTTCTGAAAAGTTCTCTACACGAAGACTAAAATAAATAAATAATCCGACATTTGATCAGACTTTGTGAAGTGCTCGAACTGAAAACTTTTCAGCACTTCCTTGTATGTATGTATGTATGTATGTATGTATATATGTATGTATGAGGGATATTCTCAGAGTAGCTTAGGTGAGGCCGAATGTAAACTCTCTATTCAGTCATAATTGATCTAACGAGACAGGCTTGCTAACCATTACACCACGTCGAAGAGCCCAAATGATTTTCTAAGCGTAGTTTAGATGTGGAACAAGGCCGAAATTGTGGAGCACCCAGTGAGAATTGAACTCATTACTCGGTCGTAATTGATCTAACCGGACCAGACTAACCATTATACCTCTTCGAAGTGCTCAAATGATAGTCTAATCGGAGCTTAGATGTGGCACACAGTGAGGATCAAATTCACTCGTGATTTATCAAGCGAGACAAAATTGCTAACCATTACAGCACGTTGAACTGTCCATGAAGGTATGTATGTATGTATGTGTCTCCAACTATGAAGCCTAGTATGTTCTATTCTATCTGTTTCTTCTATCGCACTTCTTACTTGTGGAACACTCACTTCCGGTTTCTTGCTTCCTTGTCAACTTTGATCTTCAAAAATTTAAATGCAATGTCAACAGTTATCTTCTGACTTCTTAATTCTTGTTCTTTTATTGCTCTCTCTGCCAAATGACCCGAAACAAAATAAAATAAAAATTCCATCCAAACACAGTCACGGAAAAAGAAATTCTTGTTACTTACAATTGGAATTTCATTTTTAATCTTGCTAACATCGAATCAATGTTAATTTCATGAAAAAGTGTATCCGATTCTAAACGTCTCGATTACAGGGATCAAATGCACTGGGTTGGAAGGGGTTAGGGAGATGGGAGGAGGGGGGCAAACAAAGATGATGTCGCTTTGTGGTGGTGGTGGGGGAATTCAGTGAGATGCTAAGGTGATCAACTCTCTTTTCAACCCTTAAAAATGGCGACTTTACGATTCAAATAAAATAAAAGACAAAAAGAATTTTTTTTCTTTTTTTGTTAATTTTCTTTGCTTTTATCGATCAATTACTTTAGAGTCACACTAGTTACCAAAAACCCGATCTAAACCAGACGATACCCGATATATATATATATATATATATATATATATATATATATATGGTGGTACTCGCTTGGAAAAACTTCGGATAGCTCGACTTGCAGTAGAACAAATCGGTACCCGAGGAAAAATGGGGAATAAAAAAAGAAAGAACCAAAAACATTAAACCAAGGCGAAAACAATTGTCAAGTGTTTAAGCTCCAAGTCCAAAGAAAAAAAAAACCCAAAACGAGTAAAAAGACAACTACATAAAGTGCTCAATATACAAAGTAGAGCAAAACCTAAGATAATCCTAAGGAGCCAGGCAAACCTACCTAGGTTTCACCTAAAAGGATCGTCCACGTCAGCTATAAATTCTGTTCCATAAATTTCCTTTTCAGCCAGCATCGACGCTGACGATCCGTTTAGGTGAAACCTAGGTAGGTTTGCCTGGCTCCTTAGGATTATCTTATATATATATATATATATATAATATATTTGCGATAGAAATAATCTGTAAAAAATGTTATAAAGTTTAATGTACCCAGTTTTAAGCATAGGTAAAATAACTAATGTGATTTCAGGCATTACTGTAAATCAGTTGGCAAATGTTTTCCGTGAACTGCAAAATTGTATTACCTTTTGTATTGCTAATGATGGAGGACATGTGGAAACTTTAAAAAAATTTCAATAAAACCTTAAAAAATATAGATTTACTTCTCTCTAATCCTTTTTACAAATTAGTTCTATCACAAATATAAATAAAGTTATAAATTTTTTAAAGTGCACATGAACTTTATGGGCACCCTGTATATTATTAGATTGCTAGATTCTACGATCGGCTGCCATAACCAAAGTGTACATTTTATTAAACAACTTGCATATTCAAAACTTCAAGACGTTCATCATTTTTCACAGAATTCTTTTTCTCTACTATCTGTAAATTGCCACGAATTCTTGAAAAAGATAATGATGTAGTTTACAGCTTTGGGTTCAGAGTTTTTCTTCTCAACTGATTTTTTCGCAAGGCTATAGAACTCAGCTTATCCGGATATTTATCCTATAGAATAGGAAGAATTGGTGGGTTCATGCCTTTTATAAGGAGCTTGGTAGATAAATGAATGCAACAGACTAAGCTGGAATTTGAACTTAACTCCTCAGTTTCACTTTTTTGCCCCGATGACCGTTACGCTACACGCACGTCATCGTCTACTGGTAATGGTAATAGCACTGATAAAGGTAATATTAGCCGTTTCCCTATAAGGAAACATTTAGCTTGTATTAACCGAGCAGCCAATACTGTTTTCAGTCGAAATTTATAAAATATTTTGTTTAAAACACTTTTTATTAAGTAGGAAAACAAGTTTCTCAAGTCCAGTAGCTGTTATCGCTCTTTCTAATATTGATGGGGTTTTCCTTCCTAACCTTCTATTTGAAGTGGTGTGGAATGTTAACATCTTGACCAAATCATTGTTTTCTCTTCGAGTTACATATACTATCCATTTTAGTTGTTGCTGTTGTTGATAGTCCTCAAGAGATGTGGTTTATGTTATTTGGTAAAGATTCTGTAGCACCAGTTAACAATGTTGAAAAAAGGATGATCTATTCCATTGCTTTCCTTGCTCGAAGCCGTTTTTTCGCCATTAATCTTAGGAAATGGTTGTATACATCTTACAGTTTAGCTATTTCTGAACGGGTTTGACGAGATGCATAGCATCCATATGAAAGTTTTGATCTGACGAGGCTATTTAAGAACATGACTTGAGTTTTCAGGTTGATATTTTGGGATAACTCCTACATTCTTTGCCAATAATGGAGAGATGCCTTGTTATCATTCTGAATTCCAAAGACGCTTATTGTTATTACTCATATTGCACTTTCTAAGCTCATGTCAAACCATTCCACTTAACAAGCCATTTTTACCTTTCGTCTTTGTTAGATTCATTTTTCAACCCAACTTTGTAAAGAAAATATGATTGCAGTTTCAGAAGCATGTTTTTAATGTTTGGTTTCACTTTGCATGTACAAATATTTGTGGCTATGCAGCTAACCATCAGGAATATAAAATGGCTGCATCGTAATATGTTTTTCAGGCATGCGCATTCATGTATATGTACTTTCTTATACAGTTTTGGCCATTAAATGAATACACAGCTAGTTTTGTTTTTATTATTAAAAGTTAATTTTCTTCTAAACGAAAGACACTTGGATTTTTCTAGTGGAATATTATAAAATTGAAAAAAATATATTATTAGGGGTTACTTATTACTAAACTCTACAGCGTTCAATAACCAAAAATATAAAGAATTCCAAATATAAATCCAGTCGATAAGAAAGAAAGAAAGAAAGAAAGTAAGAAAGAAAGAAAGAATTTGCCTTGGGTAGATACAGTATCAGTCATAAGCAACTTTTAATAAAAAGTTAATTTTCTTCTCAACCAAGCATAGCAGGATTTTACTATTTTCAATGAAACATCTGACACTCAAAACCGATATTATACGGGATTTTTATCTCAGAATTCTACAGCAGTGAAACTATGGAGCCATATATATATATATATATATATATATATATATATATATATATATATATATATATATATATATAAGTACAAAAATAAGTACATGTCTGCTATACTGTAGATAGATAGATAGATAGATAGATAGATAGATAGATAGATAGATAGAGAATGAGATTGCTATGAACAGATAGATAGATAGATAGATAGATAGATAGATAGATAGATAGATAGATAGATAGATAGATAGGGACACAGAGAGAGAATGAGATAGCTATGAACATATTGACATATAGATAGATAGATAGATAGATAGATAGATAGATAGATAGATAGATAGATAGATAGATAGATAGGGACACAGAGAGAGAATGAGATAGCTATGAGCATATTGACATAGATAGATAGATAGATAGATAGATAGATAGATAGATAGATAGATAGATAGATAAAGAGAGAATGAGATATATATGAACATACCGACATAGATAGATAGATAGATAGATAGATAGATAGATAGATAGATAGATAGGGACAGAGAGAGAGAGAGAGAATGAGATAGCTATGAACATATTGACATAGATATGAAACGAACTGCGCCCAAAAGAAACCGATTGAGAAAAAAGGAAAGAAAGAAAAAAAGAAAGAAAGAAAGAGGATGCGATAACGCACGCGTGTGGCTTCTTATCAGATTTAACATTTCGTCGAAAACTCTTTTCATGTTAAGACCTGCGGAATTTTATTCATAAGATATCCAAATGCTGCCTGATATGTGGAAACACGTCACTGCAAATAACAGTACTTCTACAGTCAATTAAATAATTTTTGTGCTCAGGAAGACGATAGGAACGCGTGCAATAATGGCGGTCTTAATGCGTCACCTCGAGTGTTTCTGAACACCACATTTCCTTCGGTGGACAGAAGACGTCAGTCCTTAAAACGGGAACCGCAAACAGCAATGAAGAACTCTTATTATTACATGTTGTTATTCACAAAGATTTTAAATTGACCAAGATACAGCTCCAGCTCCACAAAATAAAACCAGTAGGCAATAGTAGGCAAATGTTATTCTGATTGTAACATACTGCTATAGACGAGCGAGGCAGAGATGAAGAGAAGAGGCGGTCTCTTGTCCGCTCTCTTTATTTTTCGCTGCTAGTGGTCACTGTCTTATAGGGGATATTGTTTTTGTCTTACCATCTTTGTCTAAAAAGTATTTTTGTTTTAAGCATTTCACCCAAGCAAGGCGGGAGTGTCACTAGCACACAAGGGTTTATAGAGAGTGGGAGCAAGAGTAAAGAGATGTGATTGAGGAAAGGATAAAGAGAAGGACGGGGAATTTAGATCAAGGCGTCCGAAGATGTCGATTGACATTATATTTGAATATTTGAAGACTATAACTGTCAGGGAAACAAGTAATCGGAAGGGAGTTCCACAGACTGGAACGGCGAGACATGAAGCTATTGAAGTAGAAGAGACGGTTACATTTAACTGTTTCGACAGTGAAAGAATGAGATGCAAACCTAGTAACACGCTTAACTTTATGCAGTTTGGGAACCAGCGATAATAGCTCGTCGGGGCAGTTACCGTGAAAGTACAGAAAAAGACAGAGGGAAGCGACGGTACGTCCGTGAAAAAGCGACTGTAGACGAGATGCCAGAGCAGGACCAACCACATGGCATATCCGTCTCTGGATTTTGTCGAGGACCTTGAGACGAACAGCGGGGGCTCCAGACCATATATGGCAGCAGTATTTCATGCAAGGGCGAATGGTTGATTTATATGAACTCAGGTGAGAAAAAATTTCTGGCGCGATACAGAGAACCAACTTTCCTTGCGGCAGATGAAGCTATTGATTCAATGTGTTTGTTCCATCTCAGGTCAGTGGACAGGGTGAGACTAAGCAGTTTGGGAACTAGTGAAAGTAGCTTGTCAGAGCAGTTACCCTGAAAGTATTTGTAAAAAAGAAGTGACGGCATATCTGTGAGAGAGCAACTGTTAATGAGATGCCAGATCAGGGCCAACCACATTGCATATCCGTCCCTGGATTTTGTTGAGGACCTTAAGACAAACAGTGGAGGCTTCAGACCATATATGACGGCAGTATTCCATGCAAGGGCGAATGGTTGATTTATAAATTTGAAGGATGGATTCAGGTGAGAAAAAATTTCTGGCGCGATACAGAGAACCAACTTTCCTTGCGGTAGATGAAGATATTGATTCAATGTGTTTGTTCCATATATATATATATATATATATATATATATATATATATATGAAGATATATATATATATATATATATTCAGGTAAAATGAGAACAAATAGAGTATAATTTCACTGTCCGTAACATTTAATTTAACAGACGGCTCAATACGGGGTGGAGCTAAATATTATTTATTGTAGGATATTAAAACAGGAACATGTTAAAAATCGCGACACAATTACAATCTACTACAAATGTGTCTCCTAGGGCGATGTTAAACTACTGGTGAGTGAATGACTATTTTAATTTTAAAAAGCAGAATACTTCCTCTTTTTTATCGAGAAAGAAAAAAACAGAATTAAAAATAGCCCCTCGGGCTTCACCGTGATTAACCAATTGAATGTGAAAACTAAGCGAAAAATAATTTATTGTATAGGCCATGATAAGAAGTTGTTTGCATATAAATCCTAGACAATTTCATTATGGACAGATAAAATTGGTTACATTATTTCGTAAGATGTATAGAAGCTGTGGAATCTCCCACAACACAACCAGCCTTACCTCTTGGTAGGAAATGCACTCTTCCTATCTGGTAAGCCAAATTCTACTTTCATACAATATAACAAGTATTCATTGGACAATCACCTCCAATCTGGCTTGCTGATTGGTCAGTTCTGACCAATCAAACCGCCTGCACGCGACCAATCTGTTTTCCCGCTCATATGCTGGGAGCCACTCAGCGATTATAAAAACCGAACACGTGTGAACCTTTCGAGTAGCAGTTACCAAGATTCAAGATGTAACCTTCACCGACTCCCGTCTTAGTCATTGCTGACCAGACGTTAAAGACAATTACAAACTTTAGACAGTCAGACCTCCACACCTAGAGAGATGCCCATCAACTCCACGCCAGTCAAAACTCTGACTTTGCCGCGTAAAAATATTCTCTGACTCAGAAACCTTCGGGCACACTCTATCTCTCTCTAGAACATTTTCTCAAAACTTCACTTACTATACTTTCAAAGTGATATTTCTCACTACATAACAAGTATCAGTAACTAACAATCATTTTTTTCTCAAGCAGATAAAGGTACGCAACTTTGAACAACTTTGAATATTTGTATAAATTGTATATAAATTGATGTTATTGTTATGCATTCAACTTTTGTCTTGTTTTCAACTTTATTTGCATGATTTGTTCCAAGTATTTGTTCTAAATAATTGTTGTGGACGAATGTTGTAGAATACGGCCTCGAAATTCCTTCTGATCAATTTAAACACAATCACCAGTCTGCAACAAAGTCTTGCGTTCAACATTCTTAAGAAGTAAAAGCAACGAGGTAGGCAGGGAATTAAACGTAATGCTAAATAGCCCGCTAAGTAGTAACATTGACTATAAATTCTTTCATGGCAATTGTTCAGATGAGATTTCCTCTATGTTACCTAGACTTTATAAATTTAAAAGCAATATTAGATTGGCAGAAAGGTTTCATCTTTTAAAGTTGAAATAGGTAGATGTAGCCGCAAGTTTTATGTTAATAATTTCTTCTACTATCGCACTTCTTGTTCTTGCTTGTGGATCTCTTTTCCGGCTCCATTCTTTCCGGTCAACTTTGATTTTAAAAAAATTAAATGCAATCTCACTTGTTATTTACTGTCTTTTTAATTACATTTCTATTGTTCTGGCTTCTCAATAACATTTTTGTTTTCTAATTATTTTACACCCAGTAACCCCTTGTTTTTTTTTAGTGACTTTACTGCATTGCGTGGGATAAATTCGATTAAAAAAAGCTTTCATGTTTTACAACGAGTACTGTTTTATTACCACCAGTACGCACAGTGCGCTACACACACCTACACACACACACACACACACACACACATATATATATATATATATATGTTTTATCATCTTGTGACTGGAAGGGATAATTCCGAGGAGGATATAAATTATAATTATTCTTATTATCATTATCTCCGTCTTATTATCAATATATACATACATACATACATATATATATATCTATAGATAGATAGATAGATAGATAAACCTAGTGAGCCAGACAAACCTACCCAGGTTTCACCTAAGCGGATCGTCAAGGAAAGCTGGCTAAAGAGGCAAAAGAGAAACGCATATTTATAGGCGATAGTCAAAATTACCACGTGACCAAAGATAAAGAAAAACACAAGAACACCGGGGGGTAGGAGGATAAAGATTTATTCAACTAAAAGGGGAGGGGATATTAAAATACGAACATTAAGATGGAATGACAAAATAAACGGGGAAATTCGTCTTATTTTAGTAACCAAGATTATTTATGCCTACATATGTTAAGAATTTCGGTTTTGGAGTTTAATAGCTGGTTAGGTTGATTATATAAAGCTATGGCTAATTTCTCCTCTGTACATAATTTGCTAAATTTTTGGTCTGCTTTGTATTTGGGACATTTTTTTTCGGGGTTTTTTCTTTGGGCTTCAAACCTGTATCTGTGCGATTTTTTTCAACAGATTTTCATGTTTCTAGCTCTTTCTTTTTTTAAAACCTTTTTTTCCCTCCAGAGTGATTTGATTATTGGCAAATCAAAAATTCGAGGGTTTTTCGAAACGAGTATAGTTACCTATATTTGTATTTATATATATATATATGTATATAAATAAAAAGAAAGAACAGTAAGATATAAAATCCGGTGTTCTTATAGATATTTTTATTTTTACAAAATAGTGCTCAATGTAAATTTACAGAGCATTAATATTATAATTAATTGATTTAAAATATGTTTTTTAACTGTGTAAGGAAAAAAACATATTTTAAATCAATTAATTTATATTATATATATATATATATATATATATATATATATATATATATTTATATATATATATAAGTTTTTATGGTAAAATTTAACGATCGCTAGGAATAGGCAAAATTTATCTGGCATTTTAACTTAATTTAGTTTTTTAAAATGGCATATAAATTTTGCTTATTTCTAGCTATCGATATATATATATATATATATATATATATATATATATATATATATATATATATATAAAATGTAAAAGAACGAAAAGAATATAAATTCAATCGTTCATAACATTAATTTTAAAAAAGCGTTCAATACAAGAGTAGAGCAATAGATATCTATTATAAACTTTCACCACTTATGATGATCTCCGAAAGAGATGAAAAATGCATGGGAAATAAAAGTGATTTTCACTGTTACAGTGCATTCCTTTTGCTTTATTTAATAGTAATATGCAGAAAAATATTTGTGAATATGAAAGGATTATGATAAAAAATAAGCAAACATAATGCTTGTAATTTATTCAATGAGACACACACACACACACACACACACACACACACACACATATATATATATATATATATATATATATATATATATATATACTTGTTGGAGATGGAGATGTGTGGAAAATCAAAGGGATAGCATGGCTACGTTATTTTATATGCAAGC